TAAGTTGCTGGAAATGTAAGTTGCTCCGAGAACCCAGTCTGGATTCTTTTGCTCTCCCTGCTTTCCTTTTTCCTTCTTCTTTTTTTTTTTTTGGGAGAACCCAGAAAACCCGGGACCAAAAAAAAAAAAGAAGTAAGAAGGTGGGAACGTGGTAGAGGGCTGATGATTGCTTTGTCTTTGCTATTGCTCTTGCACAAAATTGCAGGTTTTGGTCTGGTTAGTGAGGATGGTGAACAGTGAGGAAGAGAAAGGAAAGATGGTAACGGAGAGTGTAGTGTAATTAACGGACAGTAACAGAAATTAAAGGGTGTAACGGAGTGTGTGAAAAGAAAGGGTAAATCTACCATTATCCTTATTTCTATTTAATCATGTATTATAATTTTTTGCGAGCCATGTTAATTCCCTCTAGATCAGGCCTCCCTAGGGTTTCTCCTCCTTAAGGTTTTTCTCGTGCACTACTTCTAAGGTTGAGAGGGTTGAAAGTAGTGGCAATGAGTTTTCTTCCTTAGGATTTCTCTCCAACAGAGGAGTTTTTTCATCCCTCTTTTCTTCTTACCCCTCCTTTCCTCCTTTTAATCTCTTCCTTCATCTTGTCATTGTCTTGCTTTGGAAACTCCAACCCAAGAGACCACAAGGCAGTGGCTTTTTGAGTTTTCTAGGGTTTACATCTGTTGATTTTCAAAAGCTGCGATTAAAATTAATATTGCCGATGAAGTGAGTTTCTCCTATTTAATGGGCAAGTATCTCGCTTTGGTCCATCTCTTCAGATGGTATCTTAGCGGGGGGTTGAATTTGACGAATTTGGTTCATACCAGTTCTCAATTAGCTAGCTGATTGCCTAAGGAAAAGGACATCTGTTGATTTTCGAAAGCTGTGATTAGAATTGATCTTGCCGGTGAAGTGGGTTTCTGCAATTTAACGGGCAAGAATCTCACTTTGGTGCATCTCCTCAGATGGGATCTTGGGGGGGGGTTGAATTCGATGAATCTAGTTCATACTAGTTCCCGATCAGCTAGTCGATTGCCGAAAGAAAGGGATGCTGTTGGTGAGGCTGCCTATGGTCTGCATGGGAAGTGTAATTTTCAAGCCGACGAAGGGGCTCTAGTTCCCTTAATGAGTTTTGATAGCATGGGTTCGAAGAGGATCGACAAAGATGGGAACATGATTGGGAGTATATGGAGGCGACTGGGGGGCCTTGTGCTTGTTAGGAGAAGGTCCTTACCCTTCTTAGCTGTTCTTCCTTAAGGACAAGTAGGGCGGCAACTTGGACTATTTGTTGCTGGAATCCCTTTCTCTTTCCAAGAAGCTGGTTATATAGGTGAGCATGTCCAGTAGTTCTTAATGCTCACAGTGACTCCCCTTTCTACATTAATAACCCTATTTAGCCCATACAGCGAGTGTAAATTCAATCCTTAGATGCAGATGGCTTTCTTTGCTTAATTGTCTATATCTGTTATGGACATAGTTTAAGTCTGTTATTAGTACTATAGGTTATGCTTCTGATTTTGTCCTTAGGTTATTATGATTTTGATTATATGCCATAAAATGGAGATTCGGCTATAATTTCTTACTTTTAGAAAATTATTTTCCACCTAAACGAGGGGCCTAATTTTCCTTGCCCTAGCTATATTGACATGCCTTTACACAAATGCAGTGCTGATTCATTTTTACAACCTTATCTTTTTAAAAAGATCAGCAGAAGAAAGGAATTCAGAAACATGCAAATGGATAATGGAGAACATGCAATAGATCTGAATCATTTGGATGAGGAAGATGCTATCAGATCCAAGGGTTGCATCTTCAGAATTCCGGACATGATCAAAATGCAAAATGAACAGGCTTATAAGCCCTATAGATTTTCATTTGGTCCTTGGTACTATGGTAAAACACAGCTGATGAGCACTGCACGAGAATTCAAAGAGGCATTCATCGACGGACTCATTTTTCGTTTCCCAAATCCAGCAGCGAAGTTCAAGGAGTTGGAAGAAGTCATCAAAGGGGCACATAGCAAGGCTAAAGAATACTATGAGGGAGAGGATGTTTATGATCTCGAGGGAGATCAGGATATTCTGGAGGGAGTTAAGGATGCTGACAAAGAAAAATTTGAGAAAATATTGCTACTTGATGGTTGCTTTATTATCGAGTTGTTTCGGAAGTTTGCTGGAGAGGTAGCTAGACATGAAGATGAGAGGGTACTCTTCTCAAAGGGTATGATTCATGTTCTTTATCACGACCTATTTTTGCTAGAAAACCAAATTCCTTGGTTTGTGCTTGAGCTCTTGTTTGACAAGACCAGAGTCTCTGAAAGTGAGAATACTTTGATTGGACTTGCAATTCGATTCTTCGGGTCCGCTTTATCAAGGGATCAACATCATGAAATGCTAGCAGATCAGCTTGTTTCCAGCGGCTCAAGGATTGTTCACCTCATTGATCTTGCTAGGCGTTATTTGGGTTATTCATCAGAAAGTGGAGTAGACGTCCTGCAATTGCAATGCAGGAACACTATTCCTTCTGCCACTAGACTTAAAGAGGCAGGAGTCAAATTTAAAAAAGTCAAGTCGTCAAGAAAAATCCTCGATGTAAGATTCAACAAGGACGAGGGTGTTCTGGAAATCCCATATTTGCTGATCAATCCATCAACGGAAACCATCTTCAGGAACCTCATCAGCTTTGAGCAATGTAGCTCTTGCATAACAAGAGTGACGTGCTACGCCATGCTCCTAGATTGCCTGGTCGACAACTCAGATGATGTGGATTTAATGAGCAGAGTAGGAATCTTTGATAATTGGTTAAACCCTGAGGAGGCGGCTAATTTCTTAAGCAGAATGCGCAATGGCACTTCCACAGATGTTTTCTTTTATGCTCAACTTTGTGAAGACGTCAACGCTTATTGCTTGAGGTGGTGGCCAAAATGGCGAGCTTCTTTGATCCACAACTATTTTACCAAGCCATGGGCTATAGTTTCTGTAATTTTTGCCATTATTGTTTTGCTTTTCACCATCATGCAGGTCTTCTATAAGTAGGGACAACTTACCCTTTAGACACTTCTAAATTTGCTAAGGTAGTGTCTGTTATTCTAAAATTCATTACTAAACAAACATTGTAGATGAGAATAAAAGAGCAAATTTATTGAAAATTGTGTTTCATACACTTCTCGCGCCACAAGAGGGGATCATCGAATACTGATACAAATTTATCATTTTATTTTACCCTGTAAGCCCAACATATGACAGAGAAAATCTATAGTTATATATTAATGG